AGCAGCAGCAGCAGCAGCAGCAGCAACAGCAGCAACAGCAGCAACAGCAGCAACAGCAGCAACAGCAGCAGCAACAGCAGCAACAGCAGCAACAGCAGCAACAGCAGCAACAGCAGCAACAGCAGCAACAACAGCAACAACAGCAACAACAGCAACAACAGCAACAACAAAAAAAAAAAAAAAACTCGCATCATTATTGTTACGATTGTTACTGGTGGCAGCATCCGTCGTTGTCGTTGTAGCAGTAGTAGTAGTAGTAGTAGTAGCAGTAGTACGTAGTAGTACGTAGTAGTACGTAGTAGTAGTAGTAGTAGTAGTAGTAGTAGCAGTAGTAGTAGTAGTAGCAGTAGTAGTAGCAGCAGCAGTAGCAGCAATAGCAACAGGAGTTTTTTGTCGTGTCGTCGTGGGCCTCCGAACTCACTTAGTGTTTCGGAGCAGTATGAAACCAGAAGGGCAGACAGGAGAAAAGCGGAGCAGGACGAGACTGAAGGATGAGGGTGGAAAAGTAGCGAAGTGGAAAACCAGAAAAGCGGTGGAGCAGAAGAGCGAAGCATACAAGCAGAGAAACGGAAAAGCAAAGAAGCAGGTAAGCGGACAGGGCCGAAAAGCAAAAGCACAAACAAGCAGAAAATCGACCAGCAAACACAGGCGGAAGGCATAAAGAACAGCGGAAAGGCAAAAACACGGAGGAAAGGAAGAGCGCAGCAGACGAACAGAGAGGCAGAAAAGCAGAAAAGCGGACAAGCAGAAAAGCGGTAAGGCATCAAAGCGAAAGCACAAACAAGCATAAAACAACAAGCAAACAAACGCAGAAGGTAGAACGGGAAAACAACCAAAGCGTAGAAAAAATAACAACAGAAAACAAGTACAGTTCCATGGAAAAGGATCGCTGGTGCACCGAGTCATCGAAGGCTGCGCAAAAGCAACACCGGTGAGCGGTTGAGCGAGCGAGTGATCGAGTTGGATGGTGAACTGTCAACATCAGAACATCTGCAGCTGCTGACTCCAAACAACAAGCAACCGCACAATGTGTTGACTGCTTCTTTCTGTGAGAGAGTGTCAGGGTGCTGTCCTGCGTAGCTCCCCGAAGGGTTCCACGCGAGGTCAGCACTCGCCGAAACTTCACAGACAAGCTGCAGTCAAAACACTGTGGGATGCATGGCTACGTCCCGGATCAATCTTGCCTTGTCTGCTGGCATCATCCTGTCAAAATGGTGCGTCGCAGAGCTCAAGAGTCACCGATGCTATGTTCCACTTCGTGGATGCACGAAAAATCACGAGAAGCTCAGCATCCGGCCGACATCTCCAAGTTGACTCGACGCTGCGACTTTGCTACAGCTTCCATTGTTCTAGATCTACGAAACAAAGATTTGGTGACGGAACAGGGGAAGCTCTTCAAAACAAAACCGCCTGAAGTATCTAACTTGCTCACTCAAGTCGAGCCACAGATTCCAAGGACAAGGGACAGGCTTATGCGGTTTTGCGTTCGCTGGAGCCTCCCACCCTCTAGAGAAACAAAGCTCCTGCAGCGGAACACAGCGTGTAAACCGACACAGCGTAGAGACGGCGGAGACTCTTTAGGATCTGGCTTCTAAGGTGGCTGAACCGTGCGTCCTACACTATTCATGCGTTGAGTTGGCTGTTGCCAAGAAACGAGCACACTACGCAGGCTCCGGCGCAGCCATCTGTCTGTCAAGTAAACACAATGCACTGCACTGCGCTGAGCTGGCCCCCTTCGACGCTCCCCTTGACCTCATGCTGCCCTAAGACGGTTTTTCTCTCGGTGGCGGAGCGACATGCGAGGGAACAGATCGCCACCACTCGCCCACATCCACTGTACAGCAGAGCTTCCCTGAGCTCATTGCCTCACTCTTGAAGGCGGTGAAAATCGTGGGCGCTTTTGCACCGAAGAAGGTGCCACAGGGCACCCTGCTTCAACATCCTCTGTCTCGGCTACCAGGTGCCCTTTTCAAGGTGAAACGTGCCATGCTTCGTCCGTGCCCATCGGCTGCCAAGTCAAACGTCCTGGGCACCACTCTGGCAATTCGCACAGGGCTCTGCAGAACGCGTGCCGACACTGTCCTTGTTGAACTGCTTCCCCGAGAGGCTGCATGGGTCCCTCGCAGGCTCCGCTGATGCAGTCGTCACAATGGGGCACACAACTGCATTGCATTCCAGCCTGTACGTGCCCAGGAGCTTGTCCCAGTACATGAACAGATGGCCGTAGTTGTAAACAAAGAGCCTGGGACAGCATTGAGCAGACGAAACGGTACCAGCGGCTGCTTGCGATGCCTGTGATGTACGTGGTGGTCAGCAGCCGTTCCGAATCCCAGCTTCCTAGGCCAACGCCCAGAGCTCAGCTCCCTCAGCGGTCTGGGCTGAGAACTTGTAAAGCGCCAAGGCACCGAAAGACGCCGTCCCAGGGATGAACGAACTCGGAGTGGATCAGCACCAGCCTGTGTCACAAAACTGCATCCTCCACAAATTGTGCTGAGTCTTCTACCAGGCACCGGACCAATTGGCATAGAGCGTGCCAAAGGTCATGTACGACCTGAGGGAGCCGCAAGTGGTGGTTTTTGTCGTGGCCTTGAGCAAGCCTGTGAGGATACGGCCAGACGTTGGCCGGAACCAAGCGGGCAGTGATGACCAAAGGGATCAGGATCATGCAAATCGTGTCGACCAAGCTGCCGTCGAAGGCGTCGAAGACGCCTAGGAGCCCACGCAATCAGCAGCAGCGAAAGGGAGGGAGGGACTCGAAGGGCGAAGGGCCTTCGGCGGAGGCCTCATGGGCTCTTGAAACTTCAGCTACCTCTCCCTGGGCTTTTCCACGGAGTACCCTCGTTGCCTTGTGACGCACTCGCGCTGCTTATTAGTCCGTTACGACCTGGACCTGACCATGCGTCCAAGGCACGCGGATTCGTGAAGCGATGGTGCGGCTTGTGGGAGTTCTGGTACACCCACGTGGAAATCTCGGATCAAGCACACATTCAGTGATGTAAACGTGCATGATACGTGATCGCGTTTGAAACAGGAACAGCTGGGTAGCTTTGTGTTCGCCCAAGTGCATGAAGCACTGGATCATGTCCTGACCACAGTGTTGAAACCGCTGAACCGCCGTCTTAGATGGCTGAATAGCTTAACGACCCGCCTTCACAATTGACCCCCACCTCCAACAATGTTCGCACCACATAAAGTGGATTCTGTGCGGCATGATGCTGCAAGCTACGAATCTAAGCTAGGCTCAACTGACAGTGGGGATAGCGAGGGGGCTTTCGCGGAGGCGTTTCGCAGGTTGGCCACAGCTTCCTAATCTGAGATTTCGGAAAGCACAGGCATTGGCTTGCGACTTGCAAGGCAGCGAAGCACCACATGTGGCAGTCCCAAACTCTGGAGAGGCAAAGACTCCGCTCCTAACATCGGAGTGACTATGCGCCATCCCAGGGTGGTCCTGCAATAAGAGCTGCGCAGCCACATGCTTCCAGCTGATGCCGCCAGCAAAAGAATAGTACGAAGATGGCCTCGGGAATTTGGAGGCACGGCCGGTGACCCCGTGCGCCGTCCATGCTGAGGAGGCAACATCCAGCCGAGCATCCATGTTCCTGGCACTGCGGCTGCGGGGGTGGCCATTCCGAAGAGCTCTGGACAAGGCTGACCTATCAGGTAGCCGCCCAGAAGCACGAAGCCTGACAAGATGAACCAATCTTGCGGCGTTCGAAGAAATGCAGGCAAGACAACGGCCTTCAGGATTCGCCAAGTGCGTCGATAGACCTTCTGAGAAGTCGTAATCCCGCACCTGGCGCCGCTTCACAGGTTTCGGGCTACTTCCAGGTGGATGACAAGCACAAGCACGGTGCTGGTCTTGCCTGCGGCTGGACTCGCTTTAGTCCACCCAGGTGCGAGCTGCGACGCAAGTAGTGGTAGCTGATCATGAAGAACTCACGCAGATCCGTGACATCTGTAGAAGTCACCGCTTCGACAGAAGGAGCTGGCCCGGAGCCTGGCCAACGACCACAGCGAGAAGCCCGAGGATAAGCCCCAAGGGCTTGATCTCAGAGACGGAATGTCGCAGCACCGCATCTTCGAAGAGCTTCGGTCCGGCTCAGGCTCCTGGGAAGCGCACTCCTCGCGGATCCGCGACGCCGTACGTCCCCAGAGTCGGCACCACAGGAGCCTGCAGGACAGCAGGAAGTCGGCGCGGCGCTAGCGGCTAGCGGTTCTTCCCCACCTCATCGTACCAGGAGGGTGGAAAAACATATCTGTAGGCTGCCTCGAACGTGAGAAACAGCCTCAGTTCAACAGCAGGAGGGTGCAAGATACGTTATGCCACTAGGCCGACGGTCATCTGGGTGCCACACGGCACTGTGCAAATTGCTGGCCATACTAAGCAGGCCTCAGGGTTCCAAGGACACGAACCTCAGGAACTGCTGGGTTTGTGTTCGCTCCACTGCAGCCAAGGTGCGAGAGCTACCAAAGACCAAGGAGACGTGGACGGACCGAGCTCCTGAGGGACGCCTTCCGGGCCAGCTCCTGCCATGCGTCGCCGAGTCGTCGAGCGGACGAAAGCCGCGGGTTCTTCCGGGGAGCCTTCGGTCCCATCGGTTGGGCGCTGCGCTTCCAGGATCGCCATGGCAGGAACCAAGCGAAAAATTGGAGCTTCAGGTCCTCCTTCTGCTTTGCAACCTAGGGT